GCAATCCTTCACTCCCGCTTTCCCTTGGCCACACTCCACCCCACAAAACCCTTTAATGAAAACCACCGTGCCCAAGGGCTTCACAAAAGGCACCCAGGTGGAGAGGGTTATTAAACCCTCCCAAAAACCCTGACGGCAGCGCTTCCTTTTAGTGACCCTGGTGTTTTTATCCAGCTTTTACAGTGGCTGCTTCCCCAGCTCCTGAGCAGAATAACTTCACAAGGGCCTTTTGATTCCCGTTTGGATTTTTTTCCCTCATTGTGAGCAGTGTTCCCCCACCCCTTCAAGTCTCACGTGTTATTGTATTACTGCTATTAAAAAAAAAAAAAAAAAAAAAAAAAGCCAATGGTGCTTTGATAATGCTCAGGCACCGGGAGTGTGTGAAGCACACACCCACCTGGATATTTGCAGAGGGAGTTTAACCCCTCCTGTTCCATCAAACAGGGTGTAGGACAAAGCAGGCAGTTGTAGGGTCCTTGTGCTCCATTCCTAATGGCATCCAGGGAGCTCATGCTGGTGGCTGAAGCTCTTTCAGCATCACTTTCTCAGAACCCCCGATGAAGAGGTCACCAACCTTCCCCTGCCCTTTCTGACCATATCTGAGCCATTCTCCCGTTTGGTCCAGGTCACACTGCATCAAGCAGGTCCCAAATCCAGCCACAGCACCCAGCTGGCTCTGGTTCTCACAGAGACAAGGTGAGCATCCCCGAACCCCAGGAGAAACACAGATGTTCCCCTCACTGGTTCTGTCTCAGAACGAGTAGAAGTATTTTATGCACACTTTCATATAAAATTATTTTTAGCTGGGGAAGAACAGACTGTTTTTTCATGTAGCAATGATGATTTGGAAACCACAGGTTACAAAGAGAGCAGGTTTACAAATGTGGCTATTAGTTCCCCAGTGGAAGCTTTAGCATCAGGGAGTTTTAGGTGGGTGTTGATTTCCACTGAGATTTAAAAAAAAAAACATTGATTTATTGACAGAAGAAGCAAACACCAGTTGAACTCTAGTCAGTGCCATCCACTCCTGCACAAGGTCCCAGGAGGCCATCCATGGGAGAAATCCCTCATTAGGCTTTTGTACAGCAAGGAGAGGGTGAAGAAAGTGCCACTGCTCACAGAAATCCCTGCATGGCATCTGTGACCATGATGCCACCTGCACTAAGGAGCTCTCCCGTCAGATACACGGAAAAAGTAAATCCAGAAAGTGTGGGAATCCAGAGCTTCCCTCTGGCTGCCCTGGCAGGTCTGGGACCCTGGCAGGGGTCAGGAACCCCCCTGGACAGAGCCCCCAGAGACACTGTCTGTGATCTCTGTCCATGGAAAAGAGTTTTCAATCTTACAGGATGAATTACCAGCTCTGAGTGTTTGATATAAGTAGTAATTAAGTGTGGCATGGGTGCAAAAGTAAAATTTTAGGATTCTAGATTAGGGGTCCAAAGGGGACAAGATGGAGGAAATTGGGTGTGCCTTGTCCTTTTTCTCCTTCTTCATGCCCTCCATGTTTCACTGTGGTGTTGGCATTTTTCTGTTGGTTTAGGCTGGGGACACACTGTCCAACGTAGGTGACAGATATTGGCACGTTATTGTAAATCCAGCACAGGTAGTTTCTGGTATTTAATGTTTGTACCATCCCACTGAGGGCAGAGCCCCACACGCTGCCCTGCAGGACAGAGCTGCGGCAGGGCAGCAGAACATGTTAGAGACAAACAGAATAAACAACCTTGAAACAGCACAGACGAATTATGGCTTCTTCTTTGGCAGTGGGGCAGAAGGACAGAGAGTTTCTACAATCTCAGAATCATCAATGCCACAGATTCCGACAAGAAAGGAGCAGTAACACCCTGTGTCACAACTGGAGGGACGGGGGTGAGTGTGACACTGGCTCCCTCTGGGTCCTTCAGGGAAGGATCCTGGGATGGGTCCTGCTCACGTGGATATTTTCTCTGGCCCATCATGGGATGCACCAGCATCCAAACCCACATCACGCCCTGAGGCAGGCGCTACCCCGCACTTCCAACCGCAACATCCCCTCCACCACTGCCACAACCTTTCAGTAAGCCACACAACAAGATCCCCACGACCACCAAATCTCCCAAATCTCCATCCAGACACTTCTCCATCCGCCAAGCAGAAAGTCGGAGCTTTCAGAGGCGATCCCGAGGCTCCGCCGCCCGCCTTACGCAACCGACACAGAATGAGCCGCCAAGTGCAAACCTTCTCCCACAAGCTGTTTGCAAGTCATTTGCCAGCCAAGGATTATTTGCTGCAGGAATTTGCCAATAATTCAGCGGATTAAACAGGCGAGAGTTGCCTGCATGGGAGGCGCAGCCATGGCCCCCGGGAACAGCAGCCTTGGCAGCGCCACGGGGCAAAGGCAAGAGCTGAACAACGCAGAGGAGCTTGTGACCTGGTGCAGCCCATCCCAGTGACCCCAAAACCAGCCCAGGGTGAAAATCCATGGGGTGCCTCCTCCACCCACCGTATGATAGAATTTGCCCTAATAGGCTGGTGAAGCAGGCACCACTGGGATGAGGTGAAGGGGCATTCCTGGGGTTCCACTCTGCTGGAGCAAACAGCAGGATCTCAGGGGGGGATAATGGTGGGGAAGCAGACACTGAGAGCTGCACCCCGTGACTGGCAGTCCTGGGGGGGACATGGGCACCTCCTGTCGGGGTGGGCAACACGGTGCTCACAGCCCTTCGTGGCCAGTCGATTCCCTGGCACGGGGCCCGGCTCAGCCCGCACCAAGGAGCTGGCGAGGCTCTGCCAGGGAGTGATTGCTGAGCGCTGACTCAGCACCAGCTCGGCTACAGCAGCCAGCCCAGAGCCGTGGGGAGGGCAGGAAGAGGGCCTGGTGAGCCCCTCCTCCCAGCCCAGTGCTGCCCCTTTGCCCAAAGCATGCCCAGGTCAGGATGCAGATGGGCATTTCCCAGCCCACTCAGCCCAGTGAGGCCAAGAGCCCCTCTTGTTGCTCCCAAGGTGTGTCCCATGCTGTCCCCAGAGGTGTGAGCACCTTTCCCCAGCCCAGGAGCCACAGAACCCTCTCCGTGAGTCACTCTGCAGATGTGGGAGAGCAGCAGCCTCCCATGTGAGGGCTGCACCTCCCACAGGCTGCCTGTTTGCTGCCCGTCAGAAGCATCACCCACCACCAGCACACCCTCCATTCCCAGGTGGCGTGGTCCCACCCCCCAGCAAGGCCATCCAGGTCCCCACGGGACCAAGGGAGTCCAAATGTCCCCAGCCATGCTCTGCTAGAGCCTCCTCTGGTGCACAGTCCCAACCTGCACCTCTCCACCACAGACAAGCAGCCCCCAGCACACACCCCAGCAGAAGCAGGCTCTGCATTCCCCCTCCTCCTCCAAACACCCAGCCAGGTGTCACATCCCACATGGTGCCACCAGCTTGCCAAGAGTCAGGAGTGTGCAGCAGGAAGCTCTGCAGAGACCCCAGGCATCCTGCCTGGCCACCATGCCTCAGTTTCCCAGCCAGCCCTGCAGCTGCTCTGTGCCCAGCAAAGCTCACAGAGCACTCAGAGCCCCCGGCTCCATCTGTTTGTACACATCAAACCAGCTCCTCTGAGTGTGATGTTTCCATCAGCAGCCCAAAAGAAACACCCACAATCCAGGCACCACCTGCCCTGCACACAGTGAGGGGCCCAGGGAGCTGCCCTGGGTGGGCTTCTGCTCCAGTGACTTCCAGTGTTGGCTAACACAAGCCCAAATGCCCCTGCCTGTTTCTGTGTCACCAGGACAGCCCAGCACACTGCAAGCAGGACTCAAATCTGGGCCATGTCCCTGGCAGGTGACACCACCAGTGACACAAGCAGCACACGTGAAGCTCTGTGTGCTACCATCCCCCAGCACCCCTGCTGCATGCTGGGGTGACGAGCAGCATCACCTGGGAATGTGACCCTGCCCAGACCTCATTCCCAAACCTCCAGCACCAGGGCAAGCCTGGAAAGTGCTTGGGAAGGCAAGAGGAGATGAGATTTTCCTCTTCTCATGCAGGGTTTAACCAGAATCTCTCCCAGATCACATCCAGTTGCTTATCAGGTCATGCCATCACCATGTCCTCACTTTGCCTTGTATTCAGGTGGGTGACAGGCCACCAAGTGAGGAAAGCTAGACATGGTAGCCTCAGAGCCAACCCTACTGCCCTTACAAGGAGCCTCATCCTGTGGGAACCCAGGGCTTCCCTCTGGCTGCCCTGGCAGGTCTGGGACCCTGGCAGGGGTCAGGAACCCCCCTGGACAGAGCCCCCAGAGACACTGTCTGTGATCTCTGTCCATGGAAAAGAGTTTTCAATCTTACAGGATGAATTACCAGCTCTCAGTGTTTGAGATAAGGAATAATTAAGTGTGGCACAGATGCAAAAGTAAAATTTTAGGTTTCTATATTAGGGGTTCAAAGGGGACAAGATGGAGGAAATTGGGTGTGCCTTGTCCTTTTTCTCCTTCTTCATGCCCTCCATGTTTCACTGTGCTGTTGGCATTTTTCTGTTGGTTCAGGCTGGGGACACACTGTCCAACGTAGGTGACAGATATTGGCACGTTATTGTAAATCCAGCACAGGTAGTTTGTGGTATTTAATGTTTGTACCATCCCACTGAGGGCAGAGCCCCACACGCTGCCCTGCAGGACAGAGCTGCGGCAGGGCAGCAGAACATGTTAGAGATAAACAGAATAAACAACCTTGAAACCAGCACAGACCAATTATGGCTTCTTCTTTGGCAGCGGGGCTGAAAGACAGAGACTTTCTACAGTCTCGGAATCACCAATACCACAGATTCCGACATCGTCCCACCACCAGTGTCCACAGAAAAGCCAACACAGCACCTCCAGCACAGGCAGCCATCCTCCCCTCCCTCATCAGGACAACAAAATACCACTGACAGCAGCAAACCAGGCGCCTTCCCCACATCCTGGAGCTCGTGCCCTCGCCAGGATGAGCCCCCGAGCCCAGCCAAGCCCACCCCTGGCCCCACAGCACCCGACTCACCCGCTGAGGACCACGATGAAGTCCATGACGTTCCAGCCGTTGCGCAGGTATGAGCCCTTGTGGAAAACGAACCCCAGGGCTACGATCTTAATCCCAGCCTCGAAGCAGAAAATCCCAATGAAATAGGGCTCTGTCTTCTCCTGCCAGAGTGAAATCAGTGAGCCAGTCAGAGGGGGAGACTGAGCAAACACAGCACCACGCATTTCACATTGGCCCAACTCGCGTCCCATCCCTCCTCCCCATGACCCACCATCTCCTTCGGGAGCTTTCCCAGCCCTTTCTCAGCCAGCGGCAGCCTCAGAAATAAACAGAGGGTGGCTATGACACGCTCAGATTGCCCAGGCCTTCCCTACCCCTTTTTAAGGGGCTTAAACCTTCCTGAACCCTTGCCACAGAGAATATGTTACAGCAGCCCCAGGAAGGCTGGAGGAGCTAGTCCCAGAGGAAACCTCCTGTCCAGCCAGCCCAAAATCAGAAGAAATTTCCTGGTAGGATTGTGTGGCTGCCCTTGGCTCAGCCCCCAGCCCAGCAGAGAGGGACAGACACGGGGTACTCACTAATCTCCGTGACATGGGCGTCTTGTCATCCTCGGGGAGGTGCTGCTCCAGGGCCAGCACGATGCAGTTGGCAATGATGGTCGCCAGGATCATGTACTCAAAGGGAGTGGAGGGGAGTTAAGGAGCAGAGAAGAGCTGGGTGACACCTCCAACCCCTCAGCCCACCCTTGGTTTCACCTGCTCAGCCACTGCTGCTGTTTTCCCCACGGGAACACCCACACACGAAGCCCACCTCGGTGTCGTTTGGAAATGAGGGGAGAGAGCTCCCCGAGACCTTCCTCCCTGCAGACCTGCTGGGCCTCATCACCTCCTCCCCAAGCACATGGGACATCTTTGTTGGGATGAAAACTCCCAGAGGAGAGATGCTACTTGTGCAAGGAGCCCAGAAGGTGGACACAAGGTTTGAAGAGGGACAGCCAGGCTGGGTTTTGCCTGGGAGAAGGTTTGGCATGGTCCTTGGCAGGATCTGGGAGGCTCTCCCTGGCATGGCACACTGCTGGCCAGGGCTGGCATGTCCCTGTTTTCCTTCTCTTTTCCATCACCCATCAGCAGGAGATGGGGCTCAGAAAGGGGAGGTGTCACAAGGTATCGGCAGCCTTTGTCCTAAAACACCCACAGGGGAGGAAGCACCTGCAGAGCTTGAGGAGGATGGAGCTTCCCTTGCAAGTCCTGGGGATCTAACCTGGCTCAGTCCACCTTGTGCCCTTGCCAAGCACCCTGTGGGCAGCAGGAGGAGCCCAGGTGGCACTGGGAGCTGCAGAGCACTTGGCTGAGCATCCACAGCTCCAGGTACTGATGGCACCGGGGTCTGAGCTTCAGTTCAGCCCGGGTGGAAACTCCCTGTGAAGATATCCCAGCTCAGCCACACCCCAACAAGACCCAAGGGGCAGCAGCACCTTGTCAACAGGATCATAAAGGTTGGACCTTTATGAGCAATCCTAAACCCTACATGCTTGTCTATGTCTTACACAACCCTTCCCCAGGAGCCACCCTGAGCCAGGAGAAGTGGCAGCAGGTGCTGGTGTGTGAGGAGCTGAGGAAGGAAAGAGCAGGTTGGTGTCCAGGAAAGCACCCTAAACTCAGCTTCCTCCTGCCTTTTGATTCACGGGATGGAGGCAGGGACACGGAGCTCTCTCCTGCCTGGCCCAGGGCCGAGCTCTGAAAACAAAGCACTTCCAAATGACAGGATGGCCGTATCTTTCCAACTTCCCATCCATCTTTCCCAATTCTTCACAATAAAAGCCCTGTTGTCCTCTATAATTGAATGGGGAGCGATACAGCAGCGGGCAGCACACCCCTGATTCTGTTCCCTCCTTGCCAAAACAGCTCTATTACTGTCACCACTGGCACCAGCAGCCACCCAGGCAGAGCACTGCCACCTTCCCTTGTGGAAAGGGGATGTGATCCCACCTGGGATGGATTTGCCCATGAAGGAATCGTCCACATTCCCACCATCCAAAGCTGGCTTAGCCCTTCCCCACCACACCAGGCTTCTCCACACACAACACCCTCAGGCTGACACGTTTTAGGCAAGGAGGTGCCCATCAGCTTTGGGAAAAGGGGTGATTTTCTTTTCCAACCTCATCTTTTGGCCACTAACTACAGCGAAATGCTTTCAACCAGTGGCCCTGAGCCCCCAGGCAAGAGAAGACACCTCAGTGCCAACCATGGGAATGCATGAAGTGACCCCAGCCCGGTGACACTGGGCACGCTGGCAATGGGCACAGAAACAGGTCCCCAGAGGGATGGCCAGGAGAGGCAGCCAGGGAGAGCCTGTGGGAGCTGGGATGTATTTAACTCGGTAGGAAGAAGAGCCAGGAAAGATACATCCAAGGCATTTAAAAAGCCACTCAGTGAAATTAATGGTTGCTACGTTGGAGGCAAACCCAAAGAGAGAGGCTGCAGAGCTCCCTGCTGCTGGCTCAGAGCTCGCTGCCAGCCAGGCACGGGGCAGGAGCAGCTCCCTGCGCTTGGGGAGGGGGGCCAGACTCCAAAAGTTTTCCTCTGAGGCTCAACACAAGCGAATATTTCCCCTCATGGCTCAGGCAAAGCCCTCTGCCTGCATCCCGCCCCAGGCCGAGCGCTCCAGCCGACCGCAGCGCTTGGCCCTGCGCCACCAGCCTCTTTGGGATCTTTTTGTATCATTTTCCTGAAAGTCTGCGAGCAATTAGCACCGGCTTAAGAGACAAGCAGCGTGTCAGTGGGGCGAGGCAGCAGCTCCCCAGGCACCAGGCACATTTGCCTAGATGAGAAGTGTGGGAACGACGGCGTGGAGCGTCCGTCTGTCCATCCCAGCGCGGCTCAGCCTTCCCAGCATCCAGCACTGCTCCCTGCCACAGCCACTCTTCCCCTGGGAGAGACACCCAGCTGGGAAAAACCCAACTGCAGCAACGTGGGAGCCCTGCTCAGAAGGGCCTGGGGGGCTCAGGACCACCTGGCCCCAACATCTGGTTCAAGGCACGAGGACAATGCACATCTGTCACGCCCCTGCACAGGGCTACGTTCCTGCTGCACCTCCAGCAAGTGGGTGAGCACATATCAGCAAGCCAAGGAATGGTTTGAGTTGGAAGGGACCTTAAAGACCACCTCGTTCCATCCTGTCATGGACAGGAGTGCCTCCCACCAGGCCAGGGTGCTCAGAGCCCCGTCCAAGCTGAGCCTGAAAGGGCAATCGCTCCCCAAAGCACTGACCTAAGCATGAGGTCACTGCCAAAAGTGATTCTCCAAACCCCACTGGGCCAGTTTCTCCAGGAGCTGAGCCTGGGTTATCACATCCAGAGCTGTGTGAGACATCAACCCCATGGAAACCAGCCCCCATAGCTCCAGCTGTGCCAGGTTTTGAGTTCCAAGAGGAAAAGAGCCTCCCAAGGGACAGCAGGAACATCTGGCTGAAGTGAGGGATATTTTATCTCCACTCTTTACTTCCTCCCAGTCAGGGCCATCGGACAACCCTCTATCAGTGCTTTGTTTTCTCCCACATCAGATGAATTATTACAAAACCTCTCAGCCACCCGAAATGCAGAGTAGCCCTCACCTCCCTCCAGGCCAAATAATGAGAGCCCATCTCCCTCCAGCCTTCTCCTCCTCCTCCTCCTCCGTCTGGCTTCTCCTGGAGGATCATTAGGGAGCCGATAAAAATAGGTTTTCTTATTGATTTATCTCCTTTACCCAATGCTCTCTCCCCTGCACCGTTGACTTGTTTCCTTAGCAACTGGGCCGATCCCTGTGCACGCCACACCTGCAGCTCCACACTTCCCTCACAGTGCCTTTGAGGTGGGGACAGTGACCCCAGGCCATGGGGACACCCTCCAGGCCACCTGGAGCAGGCACTGTGGGCCAACCCCATGCCTGGAGCTGGAGCTCCTTGGCAGGTCTATCAGGAAGATCTTCCTGCTGTGACCTTCCTCTTCACCTTCCTCACTAGCCAGAAGCCCAAAGCAGTCCACCCAGAGCACCCACCCAGCTGAGGCAGGGAGTGAGCCCAGCTCCAGTCCCTGGAGATGGGTTTGTGGTGCTGGGTTTGTGGTGCTGATGGGACATTGACACAACCTCCACAGGAGGCTGGGTACAAGATAAATCCTTCCCCAGGCAGGAACAGGAGCTATGGACACAACCCCTCCATCCCACCCCTTCCCAGTCCCTCCTCTCCACTCCTGGGCAGGCAGTGGGGAAGGAGCAGAGGAGCCAGAGGAGCGAGGCCTCGGGGAATCCTACCTTCCAGTGCCACCAAAAGAGCAGGAGCAACTTAATCCCTGCCCACACCTGCATCAGCCAGGTTCCAACATCCCCTAGAAAGTCATGTCTGTATTTCCCACCTCTCCCCACACCTCCCTGGGGACCTGCTGCCCCAAAGGGCATGCCCTGCTCCTAACGTGTCAGTGAGAAAAAGCCTCAGTTCCTATACCTGTGGATTTCATCTTGCTGGTCCCGATCCCAGCACTGCTGCCTGTCCCACACAGACGTGGCATGACAGCGCCAAAGATCCACATCTTCAGCATCCACCCTTAGGATGCCCCAATCCTCCTCCTCTCAGCTCCACGCCCCAGCAGGAAAGAGAGCACCCTCTCTCTAAGGCTGTTTTCACAGAATCGTGGAACAGTTTGGGTTGGAAGGGACATTAAAGTCATCTGCTTCCACCCCCCTGCCACGGGCAGGGACACCTTCCACTAGACCAGGTTGCTCAGAGCCCCATCCCATCAGACTTTGAACAATTCCAGGGAGTCCACAGTCTCTGTGGGCAAGCAAGGTTATTGGTTTCCAAGAAAAAAACGAAAGTGCCAAGTAGAGCAAAATCTGGGAGTGGCCCTAATTCAACTCTGGGATTCCCCATCCCCACAGTACCTCCCTGGCTTGTCCCTGAGGACACGAGGGATTTCCCTCCTCTGATAAGACTATCCACAGACTTGTGGCCCCTCTGTCTCTATCCCTGTGTCCTGCCACCCAGTGCTCCCAGCCCATCCATGCTGGGTGGGGGTTGACAGAAAGCACCATCCAGACCCCAAATCCTGGAACACGAGCCAGCTGCTGTGTGCCTGCTACACAGAGGCTCAGGAGAGTGAACACGGGCTTGGATTGTGTGCTGTGTCCTGGAGCATCCAGCCTGCCTCAATCCCCCTGCACGGACACTGCAGACCACCCTCCCTCTCTGCAGTCACAGCTGTTGCTGCTTTGCTGGCTCCAAAATGCAGTGGTTTGGTTCCCACGGAGGGTTAAAATGAAGGCAGTGACAGCCAGGAGTCCAGCAGGGCAGAGCTGCCCACACTGCTCCCGTAGGGATGCAGGATGCAGGATGTGGGATGCCTGCCTGCCACGTGCAAACAGCTCCATGGAGAAGCGTCTCCTTCTCCCCCACCTCACCCTGGAAATCAAATCTCTCTCCTCTCCTCCTCCTTTTTTTTTTTTTTTTTTTTTTAAACAAAAAAGGACCACATCATGTGATTTTCCTGCCTTAACATCAGTTTTTTAACTTTGGTTGCCACAGCAACAGGATGCAACTTGGCATCACCATGACAACAGCTGCCTCTGTTTAAATTCACCATCTGACAGGCAGCCTCGCTCTCCCCGGCTGTCAAAAAAGATGGACCTGCCATTACACCTACTCGCCCCTCCCAAAAAAAAACCTTTCTAAAATCTGATGAATGGAGGGCACAGAAAACAGGCTGGAAGCAGGAGGAGGGGGAAATGTTCTTGGGGAGGGCAAGGATGGTGCTGCCCAAGGATGGCACGATATGGCACAGGCTCTTCCCTTGGGAAGGCGAGGCCTGCCGGAATTTTGGCCCAGGAAAAGCCAAAGCGCAGGAGGTGCTTGGCCAGGTGGGGTGTGACAGCACCAGGGTCCCCAAGGGGCACTGCCCACGCAGCATCAGGTCACAGGGAGAGTCACGGTGAGCAAAATGGCTCAGCCACTCGCAGGTGTGCTTCCCATGGAGCAAAATCCTCCTGAGCGTTGGGATGGGGTTCTGGGGGCACTCCAGCTGCTCTAGGCCAGCCCAACACCAGAGTTGGTCCTCAAAGGGGATGAGATAGGTGAAATCCCTCACCACAGGGAACATGGACATCCTCTTTCCCTGCCACACCAGGGGTGGGTGCAGTGCACAGCCTGCAGCCAGATGCTGTCCTTGGGGACACAGCCAGAGCCACACAATGTCATTTGGCCTTCCTGGGGCGGGAGAGGGATCTTATCCAGGTCAAATGTGATTAAGCGGATGAGGAACGGAGCAGATATAGATGAGCTGCAGCCCATCTCGTATCCTAACTGAATTGGAGCCTTCCAGGCAGCCAAACAAATGAAATCAGGGTGAAAGGCCTGGCCATCAGCAGGAGGAGAGCAGGCAAGAGGACAAGGCTGCGTTTCCCAAGGAGAAGAGAAGGAGATGTTGCCTACAGCCAGAACAGCAGCTGCCCCATGGTTGGGGCAGGGGCAGTTCTAAAAGAGCAGCTCCAGTGGAGGCAAAGCACTTTCCAGAGAGGAGCTCAGCAAAGGCTTGCCTCCCATGGAGCTGCATCCCAATCCCAGTTGCTCGTATTTCTCCTCCTTCTCCTCCATGCATCATCCCTATTTACACTGGGAAGCCAAACTGCAGAGGCTGCTGGTTATAATTACACAGTTACCCAGCAGATATCCAGGCCTGAATCACCAGATATTTTTAGCCCTATTACCTAGTCAACCAGAGCTGGATGAAGAAGAGCCTCCACTCCGCCCTGTGCTCCTCTCCAGCCCCCTTGGCTTTCCTCAGCACTGACCCACAGCACCAGGACTGGCCCTCCCAAGGCCAGCAGCTCCTACTGACGGTGGCCAAGATCCAATGCTCTCCTCCCCAAAATTCCCTCGCCCAGGAGCGATGCCGTGGGCTCCAGGCCAGGCAGCTGAGGTGCTCACATGGTTTTCCTGGCCCTACCAAAAGGCACCAGCTGCCTGTGCCAGGCTACAACTACAAGGATGGGAACAACTGGCTGGGCCAACCTAACCAAAGTCATCACCAGAAGGCCTTGCCCATTCCCAAGCCCTCAAAACTCCAGTGGTGCAGAGAACCAGCCAGGGTGGATGCGTTTTTCTGGGAAAGAGATGGCAGCGGGGAGGGGGGGGAAGTAGGCAGGAACACTGAGCTCCCGCGCCTGGAGCACGCCTGTTCCCAGCACTCACATGGGAATATGTCACTTACTTCTGGAAAAAAAAAACCACAAAATGAGCCCATCTCTCTCATGCATTGCAAATTCCAGGGGAGAATAATGCTGGGGAGTTCTGCTCATGTGGTGGTGGTGGTGGAGCTCCAGTCTCTAGGAGACAGCGGCTGCCTGGAGATGAGACATCACGCCGGCACGGGACCCCAGCCCACGCCGGGAGTGCCGGGCAGCACCCCAGCTCCTTCTGCCTCCCAACAAAAGCCAGAGGGGCGAGAGCCCTCCCACACTACGCTGGAAAAGCACAGGAATAATTTGGCATATTCTGGAAAAGCAGGCAGCCGGCCTGGCCGCTGCCCTGCAGTGCTCTGCACTGAGCCACCACGGCCCCAAACTCGCCACCGCAGCCTCCCACCCCATGGGCGCTGCCAGGAGGGGCAGATTCGGGGATGCCAAGGGGAATTCAGCCCCTCCAAGCCAGCCCTTCACGCCCAGGTCACCTCCTTGAGCCTGGAGATGTCACAGCTCCCCAGGCAGGACCGGTTCCTGCTTGGCAGAGGTTTGACCTGACGTGTCAGAGCTGCAAAGGGACGATTCCCCCGTCATGCTCTGCAGGGCGGGTGACCTGTCCTGCATCCCTGTGCCTCACCAGAGGCTTTCCCTCGAGGTACCTGTTGCACCAAACCAAGGCATTGCTGCCTGGAACCAGGGGAAGCTCTCCCGTGCCCACCAGAGGAGCCAGGAACTCCACCAACAAGTTGCAGGGAGAGAAAGAGGCAGCAGCAGGAGCTGCATGGGATCACTGCTGCAGAGCAACGCACGGGGAGGCTCCTACAGCCACAGCGTGGCCACGCTGAAGTTTTCAGGCTCAGATCCTCCGTGGGGGCAAAGCCCTGGAGGTGTCTGGGGGGCAGCAGGCAGCGAGCCCGGGCGGGTGTGGGGCTGAGAGCTGTGGTGCTGGGCAGGAGCCAAGGCACCCAGGGGCACCCACAGGGAGGGTGGGAGGAGAGAGAGGTGCGTGGGGAGGTATGAAAGGATGGAGGAACAGGGGGAGGAGTGGGAGAGATCTGCACCCTCCACCCTGCGCTAGGAGAGGGGTCTCTGGGATGAAATCGTGGCTCCCTGTGCCAGCCTCCCCAAAAAAGGCCATGGGGCACAGCCAGAGGTTTCCAACATCCTTCCCTCTGCCGCAGGGAGGGGGCAGCCGGTTCCCAGAGCCACCTTGGGGGGCCGGGGGCTGCAGGGCGAGGACGGCTGTGCCCCTGGCAGGCGTGATCTGCAGCAAAGAGGGCACACGCAGGAGGGACAGAGCCACCACCCAGCGGGGACTGGAGATTCATGGGGCTCCCAGGTGGCTCAGGGTGGGGTGGGGTGACAAAACTCCACAAGACATCGAGGCACAGAGAAAAGGCCACTACCTCCCACCTCCCCAGGCACACACACAGAGCATCCTAAAGCACGCAGGGATCAGAGCACCCGTCCCTATTAGCGTGGGGAGCTAATAAATCCAAGCCTCAGGAGGGGCTGGGGGACTCCCCAGGGGGGAGAAAGGGCTCAGCTCCTGTCAGGAGCAGGCAAGGAGCCGAGGACAGGAGGGGAAGCAGCAACAGGGCGAGGAGAGCATCCCCAGGGGCCGGGGCACCCCTCTCCGCACACCTTACCTGCCCGATAGTGCCACACGCACGTGTCCTGGGCAGCCAGCGAGGCAAATCCGGGCAGCAAAGGTGGGGGGCTCTCAGAGGCTGCAGAAAGGATATGGCCAGTCGATGAGCTTCTTGGCGTATTTCCTGACTATGTTCTCTTCCCCGAAGAGGAAGAGCGATCTGTTGACGGTGAAGCAGTTCTGCCGGACGGGGATGGGGTTGTACAGAGCCATAGTCCGGGCTCTCTGCGCTTTGGTTTGCTTGAAGGCTCCCGGGCTGCCTCCCGCAGGGGCAGGAGCTCCTTGCCGGCTCCGGTTCTGGTCGGAGCCCCCATCTCCGGAGCCCAGCCTGCCGGCCACTGCCTCCCCAAAGCGAGCCATCCTGGAAGAAAACACACAGGTGAGCCAAAGCGGCAGCACCGAGGCGGCGGGGCGGGGGGAGGCTGGGAAAGAAGAGGGAGGGGGCTGCGGGGCGCAGTCCCAACCACAGCCCCCTCCTCCTCTCCGGGTGATGCTCAGCTCCGTCTCTCCCGCATCCCTCCGGGGGACCCGCGTGGAGGAGAGACGGCAGCGGCACGGCACGGCACGGCACGGGGGGCGGCCGACCCCCGGCCCCCCAGCACGGCACGGCACGGGGGGCGGCCGAGCCCTCCTCTTCCTCCGTGCCCAGCGGAGGCCGCAGCCGCTCAGTCCCTAAGCATCTTCCCCCACCACGCAAGGGCTTAAAGCCAGCCACATCCTCCCCACCGCTCTGCCTGCCAGCCCCAACCAGCCCCTCTAAACCCCCCAGCAGAGAGCTCGGCAAGGGCACGGAGCCGAGTCCTTGCGGCCACCCCCCGGCAAAGCAAGGCACGATCGGGAGCAGCACCCAGCGCAGCAGCCGCGGCCGGGGGAACAGGTTGCAGCGTGGTCCAGCCTAGTTGGAGCCAAGTGTCCAACTCCTTCCTCCCGACTCCATCTTCAGCATCCTGCGGGAGCCTGGCCGCCCATCCGCCGGCTCGCAGGGGCAGCGGGCAGGGGCGGAGGGCTGAGCCCCCGGGTGGGCACCGGCGGTGGGCAGGGATGCCCGGCCCTTGGCTGCCGGGCCAGCGGCACGCAAAGGCGGTGGTGGCTTCCCCGCAGGAGCCGGGCCACAAAATTAAAGGCTGCCGCGCCTCTGCAGCTCGGGGCCAGCTCGCTTTAATGAAGGCAGTGGCAACACAGGCGCACACCGGCGCGCACACACGCGCAGCACGCCCGGCTCGCTCCCTCGCTCCATCCAGCGCGTTCTTTTGGCAAGCACGGGAGCTGCCGCAAAGGAAAATCAGAGGCGAGGGGTGGGTCTGAAGGGAACAAAGGCAATAGGGGAGCCCCCACCCTGCCAGAAGCCAGCACAGACTCCCCCCCCCCCCACCCCTACCCCCGCCCTGGTTGCAGAGGGTTTTCCAGCGCACGGGTGCTCCTAGGTGAGTGGCTAAATTGGGGAGCGAGGGGGGGAGGCTCCCCGCCCTGTATCTCCCCCCACCCCGAGCATCTCTCTCTGGCCACACGCATCATCCTCCCCCCATCCCTGGGACACTTCGAGGCTCCCCGCCGGAGCCGCCCGATGCCTGCGGGTGCCCTGGGAGTGCCCTCCTGCTCACTGGCATACAGATGAGCTCCACACCTCGGTATTCTCCTTCTTTTGACACACGGTGTTGTCTGGCAGAAACAGCAGCTCATCCCACAAGTGTAAACACCCCGGGCTGGATGTGCCCGTGTAAGAGCTCCTGTGGGGGTGGGGGGTTGTTTCTGACCCTGCTCCCCCCTCCAGGCACCCCACTAAGGGCAAGGAGTGGGGACACTGCTGGTGGTACAGTGCCAAGGTCACCCAGGGCCCCCTGGGCTGGGCTGTGCCCTGGTGGGGCACATACCCACCTTTGGGGAACCGTCCTGGCGCACACAGGGATGTCCCCAAGTCTTCTTGGCACAGCAGGGCACAGCACACAACACACCCTGTGAGCTGTTCACATGCAGGGTCCCCCACCCCTCCCACAGAGCTCCCCAGGGCCTGTGACACTGCTACCTGCGTGTCCCACACCCACGGCTCCAGCCCGAAGCACAAGACATCCAGCCTTCCTGTCATGCTCTTCCCTCGCCCACCCCACCAACAACCTGCTCTGCTGCCCTGTCCCTCACAGCTGCTGTGGGGCAGCCAGGACTGCTGGAGGCCTTTAAATTTTCATGAATAAATAAATAAAGCTCCTAATCACATAAATCATTAACTCATTTGGGCACGGGCTTCTCCTTCCATGCAGCCTGGCCACACCTGACCAGGGACTTCCCCACTCCACAGGCACTACAGTGGCTGAAGGGCACAGGGCTCAGTTTTTTGGCCCAGGCTCTCCTGGGTGCACTGCCAGAAGCCCTTGGGCTGGCTGGGTGAGAAAGAGGAAGGCCCAGATCCTCCTCAGCACAATAACAGAGGAGTGTTTGCCAAAAGGGTTGTGGGATCACTGCCCCAACCTCAGCCGGGCACCAAGAGCCCACCAGCTCTCCGTGACACCCAACCCTTCTTAGTTCCCTCCTTCCAATGATCTTTGTAACCAGAGTGGTTATCTGGAGGGTTTACAACAAGTCCCTGGTTACCTCACTGCCACCCTGCAGCACAGAGTGGAGCAGAGGTACTCAGATCCCTCCCAAAACACTTCCCAGGTCACCAGCCAGCCAGAGTGACCCTGGCTTTTCATTCTACTGACACGAGGCAAGGAGGTGGCCACAGCAGCTACCAGCTAATTACAGTCCCTTCTTGCCTTCAGTCCAGGCAAGACACTGCCCTAAAGAATCAATTATTATTTGTAGCTCACCCCACCACCACCTCCACCTCCTCTTCCTCCTCCTCCTCCTCCCCACCAACGCTGCTCTTCCCACCTTTCAGCCCTTTCAGCCACTGTTAATTAACCCGAGGCTGGGCCGATTGCCAGGAGCAGATCCTCAGCCTTGCAGAGCTCCTGCTCCTGCTCCCCCCAGCCCTCTCCCATCCCTGCCTGCACGGCAAGGCCTCACCCAGCCGAAATTCAGGCTCTGGGTGGTACCCAGAGCCCCAGGAGGATGGGCAGGGCTGCACCCAGCCTGCCCCTGCATCCCCTGCCTGGCTCAGGACAAGGGGCTGTGGGGGAGGAAGGCAGCCTTCCTCCTCCTTGCCCTGCCAGCAGGGATGCAGCCCTTACCTGGGCACTGCTGTTGGGGCTCTGGGCTGTGCCCTGAACTCAGAGCTGCCTCTCACCTCTGCTCTACATCCACTGCTGCAGAGCAGAGCTCAGGATCACCCTGCTGGGAGCCTCTCTCCTGCTCACACACTGCTAAAGGATGGGATATTTATGAGAAAGCAGCTCCTTAAGAGAAGATTGAGAGCCAAAAGGAAATAAAAAAAAAAAAACAAAGTCTCTGGCTATGCCAAGAGATGCAGGCTCTGTTTCCCAGGATGTTTATTGCCATTCTCATCCTGACCCTCACCCAGCGTGCTGGGATTTGTGAGTCAGGGAGAAGCGTGGCTGATGCCCACAGGATTCAACATGGCACAGGGATTCAGAGCCAGCTCTGTGGGGCTGTTTGGGTTTTTGTCAGGAGGAAATGGGAGAAGACAGGGAACAGCAGCTGCCAGGACAGGAAGGCGCTGGGGATGCTCTTGGTTTTATGGGGACAGGCTAACACTCCTCCAGAAAGCTCTGGAAAGGGGGAACTGAGGGGGGACTGAGCCTGGAGAAAAGGAGGCCCAGGGGTGACATTATTGCTCCTGAAAGGAGGCTGCAGCAAGGTGAGGGTTGGTCTCTTCTGTCAGGCAACAAGTGACAGGACAAGAGGAAACAGGTTCACGTCACACCAGGGGATGTTCAGGTGGATATCAGGAAAGATGCCTTCTCCAGAAGTGTTGTCAAGCCCTGGAAAAGGCAGCCCAAGGGAAGTAGTGGAGTCACCAGCCCTAGAAGGATTTGCAAGATGTGCAGATGTGGCACTTGGGGACACGGCTGAGTGGTGGCCTCAGCAGTGCTGGGTTAATGGTTGGATCAAAGTGTTTAAAAGCCTTTTCCAACCTAAATGACCCCACAGTTGTGTGATTCTCACGCCAATACTGCCATTCCAGTCCCCTCCTTGCTCTTCCCCCACCTCTCCCAGCCACGCCACCACTGTGGCATCTGCAGGGACCTGGGGCTGTCCCCTGTCCCCTGCCGGGGATGCCGAGCCCGGTGTCACATCCCGCTCCGGCATTGCCATCTAGTGGCAGCTGTCCCCTCCCCGGGCCACCCCAACCTCGGGCAGCAGCCCCGGGCTCGGCCGGGCCCTTCCCGAGGGATGCTCGGATCAGATGCGAACCCCCCCCGCAGTTCCCGCATCCCTTTGTGCAGCCACCGGAGCACCCCGAAATCTTCTGTCTGTGCATCGCTGGGTGCAGGCACCAAAAAAAAAAAAAACAAAACCAAAAACAAAACAAAAACAAACCCAAAAACAAAAACAAAAGCAAAAACAAACACAAAAACCAAAACAAAAACAAAACCAAAACCAAAAACAAAAAAAAAAACAAACAAAAAACAAAAAAAGAAAAAACCGAAAAAAAACACAAAACAAAAACCCCAAATGAAACAAAACATAAACAAAAAAACCCCTGCACACACAAAAAAATTAAAACAATAAAAAACAAACAAACAAAAAAACAACAAAAACACAAACAAAAGTACCTAAAAAAAAAAAAACAAACAAAACCAACCTCCTCCCCCCGCCCCAAACAAAATAAAACAAAAACCCCAATAAAACCCCCAGTAAATAGTGTTAAAAGCACCCTCTGCCAAGCCCCAGGTTGCTCACAAAGCCAGAGCTGCTCCTCAGCTTGGAGGGAGCACCAGGCAGGGAAGAAGTCCCTGAGGAGAGGCTGAGAGTTGGGACTGTTCCACCTGGAGAAGAAAAGGTTCCAGGGAGAATTCAGAGCCACTTCCAATGCCTAAAGGGAATCATGAGAGCTGGAGAAGGACTTTGGACAAGGGTTTGGAGTGGCAGGACAAGGGGGAATGGTTTCAAGCAGAGGGCATTGGGTGAAATGGGATATTAGGAAGAAATTCTTGACTGTGAGGATGGGAGACATAGGGACAGGTTGCCCAGAGAAGCTGTGGCTGCCCTGGAAATGTTAGAGGCCAGGTTGGAATAACCTGATCTAGTGGAAGGTGTCCCTGCCCATGGCAGAGGGGTTGGAGCAAATGATCTTTAAAGTGCCTTCAAACCTAGACCATTCTGTGATGCTAATGCAGGGTCTGGAGAAGGAGGGCAGGCTCCCTTTCCATGACTGATATTCCCAGGAGGTGGGATGGACTGCATTCATCTTAGAAAGTGGCTTTTGGCATCCTGATTTATTTTTTAAATACGGCTATGCTG